TTTAATTTGGAGTCGTTCTGTTTTATAGCTGCGTGTTCTGAAGTCAAGTTCTGGTTCCACCACAGTCTGACGGGTTCTGTTCTCCTCATTTTTTTCCTTCTTCATCTCGAGTTCTTCTTCATCTCGAGTTCTTCTTCATCTTGAGTTCTTCTTCATCATGGTTCTTCTCCATTTCCAAACTTGTAGATGTTCTTGTCGTTCATGAGGTTCTCACACAGATGTTCTGGTCAACGTCCTCCAGACTTGGACAGTTGGGGTATTTCTGGTGTGTTGTCTTGTTCAAGTATATAAAGTACTCTGTTCCGTTGAGTACACACTGCTCAGTAGAACAGTGGAGGTCCACCTGGACCAGAGGCATGGGGTCACTGACAGGTCCAGGTCGACAGGTCCAGGTCCGTGTTGTCCATGGACCAGTTGAAGTCCTGCGACTGTAAATACTGGGTCAGGACAGTGAGACGGCCTTTGTTCAGACTTTTGTCCTCAGCGTACCTCACCACGCACAACAACACGCTATATGTGGGATTAGGAAACGTGATCTGTGGCCCACGTTGGCTTTGTGGATGTGTATCAGATCCCAGAGGCTGCAGTCTCTGTGGGCCGACCAATCAAAACTTCTCTTCCTGTTCCGCAGCTCTTCTGACCTTTACCCTGCATCTGTACGTTTCCATGACAACATTACTGTAGTTGCCTGCGTACACAGCCGTCTCTGGAAGTATTTAAGTGTATACTGCAGTACAGGCCGAGTACTGAAGGACGTTTCCGTGGAGGACACTGTCACAGCTAAAGCTAAAGCTAAAGCTAACCAATGGTTGTTGGTCAGAGAAGAGTTCAGGGCCGGGAGGGTTGGAGGGGTCGTCAGGGTCAGGGTTCTGGACTGGGCTCTGTCATGATGTGTTGATGGAGGCGGTCAGTGACTGTCTGAAGAAATATATTTATAAATATACAGTGTACACACATACACAAAGAAGGAGCAGGTGAGTGGAAGAGGTGAGGTTCAGCTCAAACCTCCCCTCACGCCGCTCTCATTCTTCACGGCCTGGACCAACGCTGTTTATCTTGATCTGGATTGCATATTTGGTCCGGGTCCCTCCCTGGGGTTCCACCGACCGACTCCCTCCCCGCTCCCCCCGTGTTTGGGAAAGTTGAAAGAGAGCAGATAGTCATCAGCGTACCGTGACAGGCGAGTGACGCACGCACTCCCTGACTGCTATCTGCACATCAGCAGCTGTGGGCGGAGCCTCGACGGCCGCCTGTCAGGCCTGTGCAGCAGCGGGATGCTTCAGCGACGTCGCCTTCATCTGACTGACGGCCTCACGCAGCTGATAGGTTAACGATACGTTAATGATGTTAACGTGCTAGCGATCGGAGGGTAATTTAAAACAGACTCCGTTCCAGTCGGCCGACAACAGGAAGTCGACATTTATTCCCACCGAGACGACCGTCAGGAAAATTAGCTAACAACCACCAAAGAGTAAAAGAGGAGGAGTGTTTGGGGGGGGGGGGGGGGGGGTGTTGCTGGAAGAGCCTAAGGTGAAGATCTCGCTTTAGTTCTGCTGGCTGCTATCAGCAGCACAGATCACAGCATCAGCCTGGTAGGTCGGCCCACACACTGAGGCCATCTGCTCCTCAGCATCTACAGGGAACCACCCCCCCCCCCGTACTGCAGTAGTAGTAGTAGAGTGTAGTATTGGGTTAATACCAGTCCATGAATATTGGCCGACTTACAAGGTGTGCATTAAAACCTAGGTCAACGTTAGGAGTCGGAGACTGGACCAGAGTCAGGGACACCTTTTTAGTGCACGTGTGGCAGAGAGAGTGTGCACGTGACCTTTGCTCCCACGACAAAGAGAGAGAGTTGGAGAGAGGGTTCCGTGCAGGTGCGTGAAGCCCCCCACCCCCAGAGTTGTTTTCCTAACGAAGCTGTGGTGGGTTAGATCACATGACTGACGGCCTTGAAGCAGTCGTTAGTTCTCGGTTCCTTCGTTTTGGTTTGATGTGAATAGTTCCTCCTTCATATGGGCTAGAACTTACTGCATCACCATGGTACTCTATGGACCAGGGTGACCCACTGGACTGGAGCTCCACCCAGGGCTGACCCGTGGACCACATGATCCTGGGTTAATCCAGTGATACTCCGACTGTACTCTGACTGTACTCTGACTGTACTCTGACTGTACTGTAGGTCAGTCGAAGTCTCTTTTATATGACGTTGATCTTTGGTTGTTTGTATAAAATCCATATAAAAGTTGTATTGTTGACTGGTCTCTCTCTCTCGCTCTCCCTCCCTCTCTCTCTCTCTCTCTCTGTACTGATCTATAAGCTAGTGTAGATCATTGGCGCCCTTTGGTGGTTATCGCTGGTAATGCACACATTTTTCAATTTTCAACACTTAATCTGAAAATCTTTAAGATGTGGTCCATGGTCCATCAGACCAGAGCTCCTCCTGGTTCTTGTAGAAGGTGAAGGTTCTGATGGTCTCCAGTCTAAACCCCTGTTCTCC